CTTTGGTCTTGTAGAGATAGGGAACAACTGCACCAAGGCAAGCATTCAGACCATGTTCCCCGAGTACAGTGTCTACACAACTATAGAGAGTATAACTACCGAGGGGGCGTGTCTGTGTGTGTTCACACTTCACTGTTACATGGTCTGCGCCGTGTTATCACTGACTACACAGACATGCTATTTCTGTTATTTGATAAGAGCATATTTAGTCTCATACGTAATTTACTTATTGGTTTTGTATATATCCATCCTGTAAATACTTCAGTAATGACAGACAATAGAATCCATAAGGGTATAGAGTACTGAGATAAATGCTGTGCTATATGAACATCCAGAGTGCGAAATTATTCCTCCTGGCGACTATAATGCACGGTGTGGTAATTTGAAAGATTTTATTATCGACGACAACAACAGATTTATTACATGTTTAGACGACATGGAGTATGTATCGGACGTATTTGACGTGCCCCGCAGTAGGCGAGATGATGTGTGAAATGAATAAGGGAGGGATCTGCAGACTTTTGTTGTACGTTTTCTGTCCATATTATTTATAAATTCACAATTTGCTGGGGGTAAGGAAGGATCATTTACTTGTTTTAAGGAGAGTGACGCTAGTTTGGTGGATTATGCACTTTGGTCAACTAGCTTTTTTGACAACATTCCTACTTTAGCAAACATACTCGCTTTGAATCAGATCACTTTCCTATCATACTTACCCTCCATGGATGTGATAGACAGGTCGATAATGTTAATGAAATGCATGTTAATAATATTCCTAGATATACATGGAGAAATGAAATATGTGATGCCTTTAAACATAGTGTTTCTGAGTCATTGTCTGCACTTGACATGGATGGGTTTATGCATTTATTGTCTTTGAATGGTGATTTAGTTGTTGAAGCTTTGACTAATGCTGCACCTAATGGTTCTATTTCATGCGGATTACTTTCTAGAGATAGAAAATCAAAACGTACATCTGGAGAAAAATGGTGCGATAGAGGCGGTGAGGATATGAAGACTAAAAAGTTTAATGTATCAGACAAGTTTAGAGTCACTGGTGGTAAGGGGATTCTTTCTTAATAGTCTACATTAAGGAATAGTTACAGGTATTTATGCAGGAAGAAGAGATGAGAATACGAAGAGACTTGTGTTCGTGAACTTGTAGACAGTAGTGGAGATAGTAAAACATTCTGGATAAAGACATGTGCATTGACAAACAAGGCAAGTTGTAATCCTGTTTCCAATAAGATTTGCAAAGAAGAATGGTTTGATTATTTTAAGAATAGTTTAAACCACACTAATATACTTGTGGAATCGGATATCATTGAGCAGGTAGATTATGTTATTAATAACCACAATTAACAATTGTGTGATTATCTGTACTGATGATGATGTAAATGATATTCTAAAAGGAGATATTACACTGGCAGAGATCGAATCATCCATAAGAGATCTGAAGCAGGGTAAAGCTGCAGGACCAGATGGTATAAAAGCTGAGGTGTTAGTGATGTATACTATTTTGTCAACGGGAAACTTTCCTTCCGAATGGGCTGAGAGTGTTATTGTACTACTCCATAAAAAGGAAGCTTTGACTGAGTTGATAATTATAGAGCCAAATCTTTGATGGATATTTTTGGGAAGTTATTCTCCTCTATTCTAAATGCGCGTCTTAAACGGTTTTCTGATCACTTTAACATTATACCTGAGACGCAGGCAGGTTTTAGGAAAGGTTATTGCACAACAGATAATATTTTCACTTTGCAATGTCTTGTACAAAAGTATTCATCTAATAGTGGCGGACGTTTTTTATTTATGAAGACTTCAAGAAAACTTTTGATTCTGTTAATCGGAAATTACTTTGGTATTCAATAATGAATAAAGGCGTTCATGGTAAATTATTCTCTGTACTGAGAAATATATATTCAAATAGATAAGCAGCTGTAAGAGTATCCAACACTACTATTACTGATTATTTTGATAGTTTAATTTAGTGGAGTCAGACAAGGTTGTATTATCAGCCCACTTTTATTTGCAATGTTTATTTCAGAATTTCAATCCATGATGGAAGATGCAGATGTAACAGGTATATTCACAGGTGTAGACTATTTGGAACTAGTGTTATTATTGTATGGTGATGATTTATGTAATTTTCATGACAGTGTTATTGGTTTGTAAAAAAGGATTTATGTAAATGTTGTAAATCATGGGGCTTACAGATAAATAGGGATAAGACAGAGGTCTTAGTGTCCTATTAGTTTTTCGAAATGGTGGTTATTTATGACATAATAAGAAGTGGTATTTTGATGGAGAGCTACTAAAGACATCAACTTGTCATAATTATTTAGGGATTATGTTTTCTACTAGGTTGTCATGGACAGTGTGTACAAATACTCTCGTTTCAAAAGCCAGTAAAGCCCTGTTTGTTAGTAAGCAATTACAGCATAAATACCAAAATATTCCTGTCAATATGTTATCTAAGTTGTTTGATTGTAAAATAAAACTTATTTTAGTTTTGGGGGGCGGAGGTGTGGGGCTTCCAACAAAGAGCTGTTATTGAAAGATTTCATAATATTATTTTGTAAATATGTATTGTGTGTTGGTACACATGTACCGAGTAGTGCAGCTTTAGCCCACTGCGGTAGACATGTACTTTATATAGATGACTACCAAACATGTGTAAAGTACTGGTGTAAATTGTTAGGAACGTCAGATGATCGTTATCCAAGATAATGTTACCTACTTATTAAGAAGTGAGATTCAACAGGAAGGCAGGCATGAACATCTTGTGTAAGATTGTTGTTCTACACGTATGGTGTCGGATATGCACGGGCTAGTCAAGATATTGGTGATATTTCATATTTTCTGTCGATGTTCAGACAGAGATTAGAAGATTGTGAAAAACGAAATATTTTTAGTATTATCAATGATTCAAACGACTTGTACATTATAAGAATATTAAGTCATTGTCGACTGTTGAATATTATGTTACAAACATCAATGTCAGGGAATTAAGAAGATGTATATGTTTGTTGAGATTGCATGAACTGCTCTTGCGTTGTAATATCAGATGTAAAGAAGCTATAACTGTTAACCGAACTTGTAGGATGTGTAATACTAATAACATTGAAGATGAACTCCATTTCATATTTGACTGAGAGGCATATGTATTGTTGAGAAATAAGTTCATATTGCATATGACATACGGCATCAAACGTTTGTAAATTTCACAAATTACTTACTTATAATGATGTGTCAGTCCTTAACAAATTAAATGTGCTACGTTTGTTAAAGAAGCTCTGAAATGTAAATATGAACTCTGTAGGAAGCATATTGTGTCATCTACCGCCTAATTGCCATATATATATATATATATATGATATTGTTGTATCAACTGTGCACATGGGTCTACAACCTTATGATGGTCTACTGGACTAGTCTAGGTTGTGATGGTCCACTAGACTAGTCTAGGTTGTGATGGTCTACTGGACTAGTATAGGTTGTGATGGTCTACGGGGCTAGTATAGGTTGTGATGGTCTACTGAACTAGTCTAGGTTGTGATGGTCTACAGGACTAGTCTAGGTTGTGATGGTCTACTGGACTAGTATAGGTTGTGATGGTCTACTGGACTAGTCTAGGTTGTGAAGGTCTACTGGACTAGTCTAGATTGTGATGGTCTACTGGACTAGTCTAGGTTGTGATGGTCTACTGGACTAGTCTAGGTTGTGATGGTCTACTGGACTAGTCTAGGTTGTGATGGCCTACTGGACTAGTCTAGGTTGTGATGATCTACTGGACTAGTCTAGGTTGTGATGGTCTACTGGACTAGTATAGGTTGTGATGGTCTACGGGGCTAGTATAGGTTGTGATGGTCTACTGAACTAGTCTAGGTTGTGATGGTCTACAGGACTAGTCTAGGTTGTGATGGTCTACTGGACTAGTCTAGGTTGTGATGGTCTACTGGACTAGTCTAGGTTGTGAAGGTCTACTGGACTAGTCTAGGTTGTGATGGTCTACTGGACTAGTCTAGGTTGTGATGGTCTACTGGACTAGTCTAGGTTGTGATGGTCTACTGGACTAGTCTAGGTTGTGATGGCCTACTGGACTAGTCTAGGTTGTGATGATCTACTGGACTAGTCTAGGTTGTGATGGTCTACTGGACTAGTCTAGGTTGTGATGGTCTACTGGACTAGTCTAGGTTGTGATGGTCTAATGGACTAGTCTAGGTTGTGATGGTCTACTGGACTAGTCTAGGTTGTGATGGTCTACTGGACTAGTCTAGGTTGTGATGGTCTACTGGACTAGTCTAGGTTGTGATGGTCTACTGGACTAGTCTAGGTTGTGATGGTCTACTGGACTAGTCTAGGTTGTGATGGTCCACTAGACTAGTCTAGGTTGTGATGGTCTACTGGACTAGTATAGGTTGTGATGGTCTACTGGACTAGTCTAGGTTGTGATGGTCTACTGGACTAGTCTAGGTTGTGATGGTCTACTGGACTAGTCTAGGTTGTGATGGTCTACAGGACTAGTCTAGGTTGTGATGGTCTACTGGACTAGTCTAGGTTGTGATGGTCTACTGGACTAGTATAGGTTGTGATGGTCCACTAGACTAGTCTAGGTTGTGATGGTCTACTGGACTAGTATAGGTTGTGATGGTCTACTGGACTAGTCTAGGTTGTGATGGTCTACTGGACTAGTCTAGGTTGTGATGGTCTACTGGACTAGTCTAGGTTGTGATGGTCTAATGGACTAGTCTAGGGTGTGCTGGTCCACTGGACTAGTATAGGTTGTGTTGTCTACTGGACTAGTCTAGGTTATTTCAACGGTGAGGAAACAAATATAAGCACTTCTTTTAGCCGTAGTGTGACAATGGACATTCTGCCATGATACTTTAGAACATTACGCCCTTATTTTGTTTAAATATTTATTTAGTTAATTTCTACCAGGAAATAACTTGAAATTCAGCACAGTGACTTCAAACACCTCAAATGAAAACAATGCAAACTGAAAACTGATTTATTTCAAACATATATTTTTTCAAAACTACATTCAATAAACATGATCTCGTATTGTGAGTACTACCTCAAAACAATACCACCCATGTTACTTAAACACATGAAGGTACAGGTCAACCTACTCAGGAAGACGGTCAACTGTGTTTCAGTAAGCACACAAACATAGTCAAACACAAGACAAACTGCTGTCATGGTCTAACTGTCTTTATCATGGAGTCGTGTTTCATAAGCAAGGTAAATCAAGTATATATTTTTTTTTTGACAGACATAATGTGAAGTTGGTTTTAATTGGACTTAAACTTGACACCAAATGTTTAGATTTTCATAAACTCCAACAAATTTCAATGGTGCCTTGGAGTCATTACGTCCAATCCCCATTAAGGGTGTACTGGTTTTGGAGAGGGACAGCGGGAGTCCAGGGGTTAAAGTTTTCGCTCGTCACTCCGAATGCCTGGGTTCGATTCCCTACATGAGAACAATGCGTGAAGCGCATTTCCGGTGTCCCCCGCCGTGATTTTGCTGAAGTAAATTTCAAACGGCGTAAAACACTACTCACTTAGAGGGAAAGTACGTTCGAGGTGTGACTTGTTCCTTCAATCAATCCAGCGTGGTCCAGATAAGCAGTGTCTTGACGCGTTTGTTGGGAGCAACTATTGTCTACAGCGATATAGTCCTTAAAATGAAGCGGGTCGGTTTTCAGGATAACAAGGAGGTATTTAACCAAAAGATAATATTTGTGTATGTATAGTTGATCTGATTAACATAATGCGTACAGAGCCATGTATCACATATAAAATAAAACATATTGGTGAAAAATAAATGATATATACTTGGTGCCTGGTTACCGACCCTGGGGCCAGTCGCACGCCTTAATCTGGTCGTTAAACACCAGACCCGCCGGGCAAGACATCACAACACCGTTACCATGGGCACACGAGATGAACTTGCTAGCCTCACTATGTGGGAAGCGTTGTCCGTTGTTGGTGGAGTTGCAAGGGTCGGAGGTTGACGTAGCGGCGGAGGCGTGGGAGCAAGTGGAGTGATGGTCGTTCCAGGTGAGGCCGTCAGGACAGGGCTTGACCCACGCTCGGCCCCACACGTCGCACTGGACATACTTTGACTGGTCGCTTTGATAGGGGAAGTAGAACTGCCCTCGCGCCAGGTTCGCGGCTGTGCACACGTCTTGAACGTTGCTAGGGAGACGAGACGAGTTGCCTCCCCCTAGGGCCTCGTGACCGCAACTCTCGGTGTTCTCGTTGTAGGTCTCGTTGCTCGGGCATTGGGTGATGTACATTTTGCCTGTGACATCACAGCGGATGAACTTTGTCAGGTCCGATGGATGGGGATGCGTGGACACAACACCGGTCCGGCAGGGATTAGTCACGTGATTCCAGGTGTCTGGATGGGAGATAAGAGGGAGACGGTAAGGGAGTGTTACGTCAATGTTATACAATATGAAGGGATAACTCACGTGTTTCCAGATGTCTGCATGGGAGATAGAGGGATGCTGTATTTGTTTGTTTGTTTGTTTGTTTGTTTTGTTTCACGCCGCACTCAGCAATATTCCAGCTATATGACGGCGGTCTGTATGTAAGCGAGTCTGGACCAGACAATCCAGTGATAAACATCATGAGCATCGATCCACGCAATCGGGATACGATGACATGCACCAACCAAGTCAGCGAGCCTAACCACCCGATCCCGTTAGTCGCCTCTTACATCAGGCATATGTAGAGCAGCAGCCCAGAGCACTTTGGTCAAACGAACAAGGTACCAATATCCGAACACAGGAACATTTACTGTGTAACCCAACATATTCATATATGGATGTCTGCCGGGGACCCCTGCTGCGTGTGGCCCTGGCCCCCCAAAATAAGGGGCCATTCAAGGGCTGGATCAAACATTGGAGGTACCACATGAAAGTAAGTGTAAATGAACTGGTTCATCTCACAGAGTACAGAATGGGCCACACCAGACAAATCTTCCTCTGCATAAGGCTTAAACATGGGAGGTATCACATGGAACCAACATAAAATGAACTATTACACTCTACTTATTACAAAATACCCATTGCCAGACAAATCATTTTCTGCATAAGGCCCGCCAGACACACCCTCACCCCACCCCACACAGTTGACCCTCTGTAATCCCAGTGTGTATAATGAAACATAGGAGGCAGAAGAGCATTGGACATCAGCTCTGAGAGTCAACAGATGGTCAAATTTATGTTTTGTTCTTAAAGATGGAAGGATTTTATTGAGATTAAAATCACGTATTTATAAAATTAGGTCTCTGAATACTAGTATTGATATCATAGGTTAGGCCTATCGTTGAAATGTAATGATAACGGCATGAATCTGATTCTTGTGAATATATATCTCATGAGCTATGAAGTCCTCAAAGCTTGCTATAGCCTGATAGCTTGGCTATGGATTTCTGCAAACCCAAACAAGCTTAGGTAGTCCTCAAAGCCTGCTATAAGAATGGTTAATGATAGTCCCTAATACCATTTGGAAATCTCTTGGTGATAATTGTGTTAAAAAACCTATGATCTCCGTTTATTTAGCAAGTTTTATCATCAAAAAAGCTGAATTCCGGCCTGATCTGGGCTGCCGGTCTAATGGTCGCCTTTTACAGCAAGCATATAGTCGCCTTTTACAGCAAGCATATAGTCGCCTTTTACAGCAAGCATATAGTCGCCTTTTACAGCAAGCATATGGTCGCCTTTTACATCTGGCATATAGTCGCTTTTTACAGCAAGCACATAGTCGCCTTTTACATCTGGCATATAGTCGCCTTTTACAGCAAGCATATAGTCGCCTTTTACAGCAAGCATACAGTCGCCTTTTACAGCAAGCATATAGTCGCCTTTTACAGCAAGCATATAGCGCATGGAAGACCGACCTAGCTACAGCAGTGCATGGAAGTCTGACCTAGTTACAGCAGTGCAGGGAAGACTGACCTAGTAACAGCAGTGCATGGAAGACTGACCTAGTTACAGCAGTGCATGGAAGACTGACCTAGTTACAGCAGTGCATGGAAAACTGACCTAGTTACAGCAGTGCATGGAAAACTGACCTAGCTACAGCAGCGCATGGAAGACTGACCTAGTTACAGCAGTGCAGGGAAGACTGACCTAATTACAGCAGTGCATGGAAGACTGACCTAGTTACAGCAGTGCATGGAAGACTGACCTAGTTACAGCAGTGCATGGAAGACTGACCTAGTTACAGCAGTGCATGGAAGACTGACCTAGTTACAGCAGTGCATGGAAGACTGACCTAGGTACAGCAGTGCATGGAAGACTGACCTAGTTACAGCAGTGCATGGAAGACTGACCTAGTAACAGCAGTGCATGGAAGACTGACCTAGTAACAGCAGTGCATGGAAGACTGACCTAGTTACAGCAGTGCATGGAAAACTGACCTAGCTACAGCAGCGCATGGGAGACTGACCTAGTAACAGCAGCGCATGGAAGACTGACCTAGTAACAGCAGTGCATGGAAAACTGACCTAGTAACAGCAGTGCATGGAAGACTGACCTAGTAACAGCAGTGCATGGAAGACTGACCTCGTAACAGCAGTGCATGGAAGACTGACCTAGTTACAGCAGTGCATGGAAGACTGACCTAGTTACAGCAGTGCATGGAAGGCTGACCTAGTTACAGCAGTGCATGGAAGACTGACCTAGTTACAGCAGTGCATGGAAGACTGACCTAGTTACAGCAATGCATGGAAGACTGACCTAGTTACAGCAGTGCATGGAAGACTTGACCTAGTTACAGCAGTGCATGGAAGACTGACCTAGTTACAGCAATGCATGGAAGACTGACCTTGACACAGGAGGTTGTTGTAGCGGCTCTCTCTGAGATCCCCCTCCGTACACGTCCGCTCTGTCTGCCCCACCCGACACACCACCTCGACTCCTGAAACATGACTTCAAGTTATACTGTGTTGTACACTGTACCATCAAGTCTATATGTGTTGTACACTGTACCATCAAGTCTATATGTGTTGTACACTGTACCATCAAGTCTATATGTGTTGTACACTGTACCATCAAGTCTATATGTGTTGTACACTGTACCATCAAGTCTATATGTGTTGTACACTGTACCAACAAGTCTATATGTGTTGTACATTGTACCATCAAGTCTATATGTGTTGTACACTGTACCATCAAGTCTATATGTGTTGTACACTGTACCATCAAGTCTATATGTGTTGTACACTGTACCATCAAGTCTATATGTGTTGTACACTGTACCATCAAGTCTATATGTGTTGTACACTGTACCATCAAGTCTATATGTGTTGTACACTGTACCAACAAGTCTATATGAGTTGTACACTGTACCATCAAGTCCTTATGTGTTGTACACTGTATCATCAAGTATATATGTGTTGTACACTGTACCATCAAGTCTATGTTTACTGTACACTGTACCATCAAGTCTATATGTGTTGTACACTGTACCATCAAGTCTATATGTGTTGTACACTGTACCATCAAGTCTATATGTGTTGTACACTGTACCATCAGTCTGTATGTGTTGTACGCTGTACCATCAAGTCTATATGTGTTGTACACTGTACCATCAAGTCTATATGTGTTGTACACTGTACCATCAAGTCTATATGTGTTGTACATTGTGCCATCAAGTATATATGTGTTGTACACTGTACCATCAAGTCTATATGTGTTGTACACTGTACCATCAAGTCTATATGTGTTGTACACTGTACCATCAAGTCTATATGTGTTGTACACTGTACCATCAAGTATATATGTGTTGTACACTGTGCCATCAAGTCTATGTTTACTGTACACTGTACCATCAAGTCTATATGTGTTGTACACTGTACCATCAAGTCTATATGTGTTGTACACTGTACCATCAAGTCTATATGTGTTGTACACTGTACCATCAAGTATATATGTGTTGTACACTGTACCATCAAGTCTATGTTTACTGTACACTGTACCATCAAGTTTATATGTGTTGTACACTGTACCATCAAGTCTATATGTGTTGTACACTGTAGCATCAAGTATATATGTGTTGTACACTGTACCATCAAGTCTATATATGTTGTAAACTGTACCATCAAGACTATATGTGTTGTACACTGTGCCATCAAGTCTATATGTGTTGTACGCTGTACCATCACGTCTATGTTTACTGTACACTGTACCATCAAGTCTACATGCAGGAACACTGTACCTACAAGTCTATATGTGTTGTACACTGTACCGACATGTCTATATGTGTTGTACACTGTACCATCAAGTCTATATGTGTTGTACACTGGGCCATCACAACTATGGTCGTATATTCACAGGCAAAAGACATAACCATCGGCGCATATCCACGTGTTATTTCCAGCTTACTTGTTGGTGCTGTGGTGATAGACACGTTGTAGGAAGCATGCGCACAGCGTGTGACGTCAGCAGCAGACACGGGGACACGTGATCCGATGACTGTAACGTAGAGTGGTCTCCCTTGACGTGTAGTGTTGAGGTAGATGACGGATGGCCTCCCCTCCCTTGCGTTGTCCCGCATGTCGAAGAAGGCGGGGCCGGGGCGGGGCGTGTTGTAGGAGGCGTAGATCTCCAGGCTGCCACAGTGAACCTCGGACCTCTATGACAACAAACAAAGTCTCGATAGACTGTTGTCACGTGCTTATCGGTCGCGTCTCTAAAACCACGGAGGATTCATGTGTGAAAGTCTTACACTTAGGATTCATCAACAAAAACACATGATAATGATATAAGCGAAATCTTACAATCGACTCACATACCCATCCACGAAACCAACCTCCCAAATCCACTCACTAAATCAACAACTCACTCACCAACTCAACCACTCACTCACTAATTCAACCACTCACTCACCAAATCAGCCACTCACTCACCAACTCAACCACTCAACCACTCACCAACTCAACCACTCACCCACTCACCAACTCAACCACTCACTCACTCACAACTCACCCACTCATCAACTCAACCACCCACTCACTCAACCACTCAACTACACACTCACTCACTAACTCAGCCACTCACACACTCACCAACTTAATCACTCACTCACTCACCAACTCAAACACTCACTCACTCACCAAGTCAACCACTCAGTCACCAACTCAACAACTAAACCACTCACCAACTCACTAAATCAAGCACTCACTCGCAAACTCGACCACTTACTCACATACTCAACCAATCACTCATTAACTCAACCACTTACTCACTAACTCAAACACTCACTCACTTACCCAACCACTCACTCACTCACTAACCCAACAAGTCACCCATTCAGCAACTCAACCACTCACTCGCTCACTCACTCACTCAATCACTCAATCACTCACTCACTCACTCACTCACTCACCAACTCAACCACTCACTCATTAACTCACTCACTCACTCACTAACTCATCCATTCACTCACTCACTAACTCGACCACTCACTCAAAAACTCAAAACTCACTCACTCAATAACCCAACCACTCACTCGCTCACCAACTCAACCACACACTCACTCACCAACTCAACCAATTCACTCACTCACCAACTCAACCACTCACTCACTCACCAACTCAACCACTCACTCACTCACCAACTCAAACACTCACTCACTCACAACCCTTACCACTCACTCACTCACCAACTCAAACACTCACTCACTCATCAACTCAACCACTCATTCACTCAATAACTCAACTACTCATTCACTCACAACTCAACCACTCACTCACTCACCAACTCAACCACTCAACCACTCACCATCTCAACCACTCACTCACTCACCAACTCAAATACTCACTCATTCACCAACTCAACCACTCACTCATTCACCAAATCAACCACTCACTCACTCACTCAACCACTCAGCCACTCACCAACTCAACCACTCACTCACTCACCAACTCAACCACTCACTCACTCACTCAATCACGCACTCAGCCACTCACTCAATCACTCACTCACCCACTCACTCACTCACTCACTCACTCACTCACTCACTCACTCACTCACTCACTCACTCACCCACTCACTCACTCACTCACGTACCCACTCACTCACTCATCTATGGACGTCAACCACCACGTACAAGCACTGTAACCTGGTTCTGATCCCCGTCAGATGTAGTCGTCGTGCTCCCGTTGGAGCCGCTGCTGCCGGTGGGGACTTGTGCCACGTAGATGTCGGTCACTGTCTGGTTCTCAGGGAGGACTTTCACCACTGAGATGTCGGTATCAGAGATAATCTTTGGAGCTGAAAGGGAACATCAAGGTCATTGCCCACCACGGAACGTCAACCCCTGTCCCCCTCATGATACAATACATTCACCAACACGTCCCCTGTCCCCCTCATGATACAATACATTCACCAACACGTCCCCTATCCCCCTCATGATACAATACATTCACCAACACGTCCCCTATCCCCCTCATGATACAATACATTCACCAACATGTCCCCTGTCCCCCTCATGATACAATACATTCACCAACATGTCCCCTGTCCCCCTCATGATACAATACATTCACCAACACATCCCCTGTCCCCCTCATGATACAATACATTCACCAACACGTCCCCTGTCCCCCTCATGATACAATACATTCACCAACACGTCCCCTGTCCCCCTCATGATACAATACATTCACCAACATGTCCCCTGTCCCCCTCATGATACAATACATTCACCAACATGTCCCCTGTCCCCCTCATGATACAATACATTCACCAACACATCCCCTGTCCCCCTCATGATACAATACATTCACCAACACGTCCCCTGTCCCCCTCATGATACAATACATTCACCAACACGTCCCCTGTCCCCCTCATGATACAATACATTCACCAACACGTCCCCTGTCCCCCTCATGATACAATACATTCACCAACACGTCCCCTGTCCCCCTCATGATACAATACATTCACCAACACGTCCCCTGTCCCCCTCATGACACAATACATTCACCAACACGTCAAGTTCCTTTTCATAGAGATGTCACAGACGTTCACTTAAATCACATAGATGACGTATTGGGAAACCATGGAAATACCAGCTCCAGTGCTTGTGGAATACCCTCAATGAAATGCTGACAAGCACGTTAAGGCTGCATCCCTGCTGGTCGAGTGACGTTCCACATCGTGTCTACATCCTCCTAGTCTAGGGGTGGTTAGGTAGCCTTTTAGTAAACGCGATCGCTCGTCCCGCAGAGGGCCTTTGTTCGATTCCCCACATCGTACAATGCCCATTTCTGGTGTAATCCGCCCTGAAATTGCTGGAATGGTGCAAAAAGCGACTTCAACCATACTCACTCACTCACTCACCACCCACTCAGCCACTCACTCAGCCACTCACTCACTCACTCACTCACTCACCTGAGCAGGAGCTGTCTTTCAGCTGATATAACAGAGAGTCGATCTCTAGGAAGTTGTTGAGGATAAACACATGAGTACAGTTAGGGCTGCTGGCGATGTTGGCCAGCTCGACGTCATTGACGTTGCCCACGCCAACAGAGAAGAAGGTGATGCCCTGGTCTCTCGCTGTCTGGGCAGCAGCAACTGTCAGCTGGCGTGCACTGGACGCGCCGTCGGTCAGCAGGATGGCCACTCTCTTCGCGTGTGGCCGAGCACCTGTTGTTGTGTTGAACAGGGTGGCGCCTGCTTCCTGGATGGCGCGGTCAGTCCTCGTGCCACTGCTACCTTTCCTGATTCTCGAGATGGACGATGTGAGAGCTGCTTTGGTGGTGAAGCTGTCGAACGTGATTATATCTCCAACAACAGTGGAGAACTCCAGAGCAGCGACGTGGATCTCGTCGTCATCTATGTTCAGGTCATCTATGACGTCATTGATGAAGGCCAACATCCGCCGGAAGTTTGTGGAAGAGACACTCCCAGACCCGTCAATGATGAATGCCAGATCCAGCTCAGTCTTACAGTCTGTAATAAAACACAACAATATGACATTGTGGATTCAGGGTTATGTGAGTGAGTGAGTGAGTGAGTGAGTGAGTGAGTGAGTGAGTGAGTGAGTGAGTGAGTGAGTGAGTGAGTGAGTGAGTGAGTGAGTGAGTGAGTGAGTGAGTGAGTGAGTGAGTGAGTGAGTGAGTGAGTGAGTGAGTGAGTGAGTGAGTGAGTGAGTGAGTGAGTGAGTGAGTGAGTGAGTGAGTGAGTGAGTGAGTGAGTGAGTGAGTGAGTGAGTGAGTGAGTGAGTGAGTGAGTGAGTGAGTGAGTGAGTGAGTGAGTGAGTGAGTGAGTGAGTGAGTGAGTGAGTGAGTGAGTGAGTGAGTGAGTGAGTGAGTGAGTGAGTGAGTGAGTGAGTGAGTGAGTGAGTGAGTGAGTGAGTGAGTGAGTGAGTGAGTGAGTGAGTGAGTGAGTGAGTGAGTGAGTGAGTGAGTGAGTGAGTGAGTGAGTGAGTGAGTGAGTGAGTGAGTGAGTGAGTGAGTGAGTGAGTGAGTGAGTGAGTGAGTGAGTGAGTGAGTGAGTGAGTGAGTGAGTGAGTGAGTGAGTGAGTGAGTGAGTGAGTGAGTGAGTGAGTGAGTGAGTGAGTGAGTGAGTGAGTGAGTGAGTGAGTGGTTTAACGCCTTTAACATTATTCCAGTTATATCACGGCGTGTCAGCTTAGAGTGGGAGGAAAGCCCGAAGTGATGCAGGTCTCAGACGTTTACCACTTCGGTGAAACCCACGCGTACGGGCATGGTGCTGACAAACATAGAAACATAATCGGGGCGAACCGGGATTCGAACCCACAGTCCCAAGGGACACAACTCTGCACTGGGCCACCCGTGACCCCGGGTTGTTACAGAGTAAACTAAAGTACAAACAATACACCGGATATTTGGGGATTATTGAAATAATGTGCATGAAAGAATTTTGGGAATATATGTAATGTGTATATGCTATTGAGAAATCAAAACTGTTTTTGTCAAAAGTGACGTTGATATCGTCAGATCATAGGTTTTCGGAAGGCCATGGTTCGGAAGGCCGTCATTAGTGAATGAGATGTTTTACAGTTGTTTATGTGATTAAAGAGAAAACTACGAATGTCACTTAAGCCTCCGAACACCCATACGCGGGGATACAAACATTTGTGTTTGAGAAGTAAAGTCAACACAAATATATGTCATATCTCATTGTAGTAGTACTTGATAAACGCAATACAAATCCAGCAGATACAAATTTCCTTACCCATCCCTGGTAAATTCCTGGCCTTTGTAACGAATGCCGCACGGTTGCCTCCAGTGCGCATGTACCGTGTCCAGAACGAGGCTTGAGAGGTTATGTCGGCTGGTGTGTCACGAGACCCGGATCGATATTTAATATACAGCGACGCAGCCAGGCCGGAATACAGGGGCTTCCTCAGGTCTTCCCATGTTGCATTGCGCCAGTCAATGTTAAACTCGGATTCGATGACGTCACATTCATCCCTTATGTAGTTGGAACACGTTCGTGTCAGATTGAACTTGTCTTCGTCGATCTGAAACAGTGGTAGGTGAGTGAGTGAGTGGGTTGGTGAGTGAGTGAGTGAGTGGGTTGGCGAGTGAGTTGGTTGGTGAGTGAGTGAGTGAGTGAGTGAGTGAGTGAGTGAGTGAGTGAGTGAGTACCATCTGTTGATGGAATGACGCGCTGTGGATCGAACCACAAACTTTCACTGACTTAGACGGACGCTCTATCCACTAGATCACTGAGTCAAATATATTCAACAACAAAAGTTTCTGTGACACCAATATTTTAGTAACAAGTAAAGTTTGGTTTTCAATATTGTAGTACATGTATGGAATCAAGTCAAAAAACGCAACTGCTACAGAAAAACATGCATTCCATGCAAAAGTTGACTTTAATGCAAGCCCCATGCATTTCATTACCCAAGAATGGATAAAAAAAACCATGTGCGTTAACGGGATACCATATGCATTGTTTAGCATCGTGCTGACAACAACCACTCAGAAAAACAACAAAATTACGCAATTATTTAACATTACGAAATGCCATGCCTGTCCGAAAGGGTGTTGTGTTGTGTTAAAAACAGTACCGGTGTTTGAGCAACCATATCGCAAATAAAATTTAATTCTGGCTCAAATTTGTTTCGTCTTGTTTGTTCCCAGATGATTGCTCTTCACAAACATAATGCTTTCTCCAACTAAACTGATTCTTATTTACTATACAGAAAATTTCTGGTGGGTGCTTAACTTTTTTTAGGTGTATATACTAAACCACAAACAGAGGTTGTACAGGAAATGCGGATAACGTTAAGATGATAAAAGATATGTGGATAATACCAAGAAATGATAACAGAGAAAACACTTGATAACAAGTGTGCATCGATTGTTTGATGACAACAATCCGTGTTTTTTTTAAAAACATCGAAAACAGGGTAGCCTCAAACCGAAAAAAAATACAAGTGTCAATAGCTTGTTGGGGCTCCATTAGCTTCCATATAGGCCGCAGATCGCAGTCTCATAGAGTCTACAAGTCTTTGGAAGAAGGCTTGGGGAATCCCGTTCCATTCCCGCACCAAAAAGACTTCCAGTTCCTGAAATGTATGTGGTTGCCTTGCTGCCTGATGACTCCCAATTGAAGTCTTCCGATCTCGTCCGGGACATGCTCATTTGGCGCCTTTGTCCGGTGCCAAAGATGGCCGGGGCATCACAGGAATGTTATTCACTTTGGGGAAGTCCTCAGAGACCCGTGCTGTATGGGGACGAGCGTTTTCTTGATGAAAGAGCTTGAGTTGAGTTTGACCCAGAAAGAGAGGTCTGAGGTGATTCCGAAGAACATCATCCCTGTACACGACAGCAGCCACATGGAGCACGTGTAGGGGGGTCCTGTGATGATAACTGAAGCCTCCCCACTCCATGATGTTTCCTCCTCCCCCCGGTCGGCCTGTAAGACACAGCAGTTAGCGTAACGCTCACGTCGCCTCCATATCATGATGCTTCCTCCTCCCCACCGGTCGGCCTGTAAGACACAGCAGTTAGCGTAACGCTCACGTCGCCTCCATATCATGATGCTTCCTCCTCCCCACCGGTCGGCCTGTAAGACACAGCAGTTAGCGTAACGCTCACGTCGCCTCCATATCATGATGCTTCCTCCTCCCACCGGTCGGCCTGTAAGACACAGCAGTTAGCGTAACGCTCACATCGCCTCCATATCATGATGCTTCCTCCTCCCCCGGTCGGCCTGTAAGACACAGCAGTTAGCGTAACGCTCACGTCGCCTCCATATCATGATGCTTCCTCCTCCCCACCGGTCGGCCTGTAAGACACAGCAGTTAGCGTAACGCTCACGTCGCCTCCATATCATGATGCTTCCTCCTCCCCACCGGTCGGCCTGTAAGACACAGCAGTTAGCGTAACGCTCACGTCGCCTCCATATCATGATGCTTCCTCCTCCCCCCGGCCGGCCTGTAAGAAACAGCAGTTAGCGTAACGCTCACGTCGCCTCCATATCATGATGCTTCCTCCTCCCCCCGGCCGGCCTGTAAGACACAGCAGTTAGCGTAACGCTCACGTCGCCTCCATATCATGATGCTTCCTCCTCCCCACCGGTCGGCCTGTAAGACACAGCAGTTAGCGTAACGCTCACGTCGCCTCCATATCATGATGCTTCCTCCTCCCCACCGGTCGGCCTGTAAGACACAGCAGTTAGCGTAACGCTCACGTCGCCTCCATATCATGATGCTTCCTCCTCCCCACCGGTCGGCCTGTAAGACACAGCAGTTAGCGTAACGCTCACGTCGCCTCCATATCATGATGCTTCCTCCTCCCCACCGGTCGGCCTGTAAGACACAGCAGTTAGCGTAACGCTCACGTCGCCTCCATATCATGATGCTTCCTCCTCCCCACCGGTCGGCCTGTAAGACACAGTAGTTAGCGTAACGCTCACGTCGCCTCCATATCATGATGTTTCCTCCTCCCCCGGTCGGCCTGTAAGACACAATAGTTAGCGTAACGCTCACGTCGCCTCCATATCATGATGCTTCCTCCTCCCCACCGGTCGGCCTGTAAGACACAGCAGTTAGCGTAACGCTCACGTCGCCTCCATATCATGATGCTTCCTCCTCCCCACCGGTCGGCATGTAAGACACAGCAGTTAGCGTAACGCTCACGTCGCCTCCATATCATGATGCTTCCTCCTCCCCACCGGTCGGCCTGTAAGACACAGCAGTTAGCGTAACGCTCACGTCGCCTCCATATCATGATGCTTCCTCCTCCCCACCGGTCGGCCTGTAAGACACAGCAGTTAGCGTAACGCTCACGTCGCCTCCATATCATGATGCTTCCTCCTCCCCCCGGCCGGCCTGTAAGACACAGCAGTTAGCGTAACGCTCACGTCGCCTCCATATCATGATGCTTCCTCCTCCCCACCGGTCGGCCTGTAAGACACAGCAGTTAGCGTAACGCTCACGTCGCCTCCATATCATGATGCTTCCTCCTCCCCCCCGGTCGGCCTGTAAGACACAGCAGTTAGCGTAACGCTCACGTCGCCTCCATATCATGATGCTTCCTCCTCCCCACCGGTCGGCCTGTAAGACACAGCAGTTAGCGTAACGCTCACGTCGCCTCCATATCATGATGCTTCCTCCTCCCCACCGGTCGGCCTGTAAGACACAGCAGTTAGCGTAACGCTCACGTCGCCTCCATATCATGATGCTTCCTCCTCCCCCGGTCGGCCTGTAAGACACAGCAGTTAGCGTAACGCTCACGTCGCCTCCATATCATGATGCTTCCTCCTCCCCACCGGTCGGCCTGTAAGACACAGCAGTTAGCGTAACGCTCACGTCGCCTCCATATCATGATGCTTCCTCCTCCCCCGGTCGGCCTGTAAGACACAGCAGTTAGCGTAACGCTCACGTCGCCTCCATATCATGATGCTTCCTCCTCCCCCGGTCGGCCTGTAAGACACAGCAGTTAGCGTAACGCTCACGTCGCCTCCATATCATGATGCTTCCTCCTCCCCCGGTCGGCCTGTAAGACACAGCAGTTAGCGTAACGCTCACGTCGCCTCCATATCATGATGCTTCCTCCTCCCCACCGGTCGGCCTGTAAGACACAGCAGTTAGCGTAACGCTCACGTCGCCTCCATATCATGATGCTTCCTCCGCCCCCGGTCGGCCTGTAAGACACAGTAGTTAGCGTAACGCTCACGTCGCCTCCATATCATGATGCTTCCTCCTCCCCCGGTCGGCCTGTAAGACACAGCAGTTAGCGTAACGCTCACGTCGCCTCCATATCATGATGCTTCCTCCTCCCCCGGTCGGCCTGTAAGACACAGCAGTTAGCGTAACGCTCACGTCGCCTCCATATCATGATGCTTCCTCCTTCCCCGGTCGGCCTGTAAGACACAGCAGTTAGCGTAACGCTCACGTCGCCTCCATATCATGATGCTTCCTCCTCCCCCGGTCGGCCTGTAAGACACAGCAGTTAGCGTAACGCTCACGTCGCCTCCATATCATGATGCTTCCTCCTCCCCACCGGTCGGCCTGTAAGACACAGCAGTTAGCGTAACGCTCACGTCGCCTCCATATCATGATGCTTCCTCCTCCCCCGGTCGGCATGTAAGACACAGCAGTTAGCGTAACGCTCACGTCGCCTCCATATCATGATGCTTCCTCCTCCCCACCGGTCGGCCTGTAAGACACAGAAGTTAGCGTAACGCTCACGTCGCCTCCATATCATGATGCTTTCTCCTTCCCCGGTCGGCCTGTAAGACACAGCAGTTAGCGTAACGCTCACGTCGCCTCCATATCATGATGCTTTCTCCTTCCCCGGTCGGCCTGTAAGACACAGCAGTTAGCGTAACGCTCACGTCGCCTCCATATCATGATGCTTCCTCCTCCCCACCGGTCAGCCTGTATGGGCTGTTGGGCCCACTGCAGACGTTGTTGGCGGTGACGTTAAGTGAGTATCGGCCCGACTTAAGGACGACATCTGATTCTCGCAGCTCTTAGGTGACAACGAATGACGTAGACGTTGAATGGTTGCAACTGTCTGTGTTGCTCGTCGCCGTCGGTCACGCAGATGTGTCACCCGGATGTTACGGTCCTGCCCGGGAGTCTTGACGAGGACGGTCTTGGACATTGCCTGTCTGTTGAGGCCTTGTGACCAATCTGGTGATGGTAGACACATGACATCCAAAGTGCCTCGCCTGTCAGTTGACGTTGATACCGATGGCAACACCTTTCTGGAGTTCAATTAATCGAACCATTTTTCCTGTCCTTTTTCAAAGTCGTGTGTGAAATGCTTGGTGTGTTTATATGGTGGCTTACAAAGGATGGACAAGGGGGAAATTACACGCATTTCTGCAGTGAGTGAGTGAGTGAGTGCCATCTGTTGATGGAATGACGCGGCTGTGGATCGAACCACAAACTTTCACTGACTTAGACGGACGTTCTATCCACTAGATCACTGAGTCAAATATATTCAACAACAAAAGTTCCTGTGACACCAATATTTTAGTGTATTTTTCAAACAAGTAAAGTTTGGTTTTCAATATTGTAGTACATGTATGGAATCAAGTCAAAAAACGCAACTGCTACAGAAAAACATGCATTCCATGCAAAAGTTGACTTTAATGCAAGCCCCATGCATTTCATTACCCAAGAATGGATAAAAAAAACCATGTGCGTTAATGGGATACCATATGCATTGTTTAGCATCGTGCTGACAACAACCGCTCAGAAAAACAACAAAATTACGCAATTATTTAACATTACGAAATGCCATGCCTGTCCGAAAGGGTGTTGTGTTGTGTTAAAAACAGTACCGGTGTTTGAGCAACCATATCGCAAATAAAATTTAATTCTGGCTCAAATTTGTTTCGTTTTGTTTGTTCCCAGATGATTGCTCTTCACAAACATAATGCTTTCTCCAACTAAACTGATTCTTATTTACTATACAGAAAATTTCTGGTGGGTGCTTAACTTTTTTTAGGTGTATATACTAAACCACAAACAGAGGTTGTACAGGAAATGCGGATAACGTTAAGATGATAAAAGATATGTGGATAATACCAAGAAATGATAACAGAGAAAACACTTGATAACAAGTGTGCATCGATTGATTGATGACAACAATCCGTGGTTTTTTTTAAAACATCGAAAACAGGGTAGCCTCAAACCCCCCAAAAAATACAAGTGGCAATAGCTTGTTGGGGCTCCATTAGCTTCCATATAGGCCGCAGATCGCAGTCTCATAGAGTCTACAAGTCTTTGGAAGAAGGCTTGGGGAATCCCGTTCCATTCCCGCACCAAAAAGACTTCCAGTTCCTGAAGTGTATGTGGTTGCCTTGCTGCCTGATGACTCCCAATTGAAGTCTTCCGATCTCGTCCGGGACATGCTCATTTGGCGCCTTTGTCCGGTGCCAAAGATGGCCGGGGCATCACAGGAATGTTATTCACTTTGGGGAAGTCCTCAGAGACCCGTGCTGTATGGGGACGAGCGTTTTCTTGATGAAAGAGCTTGAGTTGAGTTTGACCCAGGAAGAGAGGTCTGAGGTGAATCCGAAGAACATCATCCCTGTACACGACAGCAGCCACATGGAGCACGTGTAGGGGGGTCCTGTGATGATAACTGAAGCCTCCCCACTCCATGATGTTTCCTCCTCCCCCCGGTCGGCCTGTAAGACACAGCAGTTAGCGTAACGCTCACGTCGCCTCCATATCATGATGCTTCCTCCTCCCCCGGTCGGCCTGTAAGACACAGCAGTTAGCGTAACGCTCACGTCGCCTCCATATCATGATGTTTCCTCCTCCCCCGGTCGGCCTGTAAGACACAGCAGTTAGCGTAACGCTCACGTCGCCTCCATATCATGATGTTTCCTCCTCCCCCGGTCGGCCTGTAAGACACAGCAGTTAGCGTAACGCTCACGTCGCCTCCATATCATGATGCTTCCTCCTCCCCCGGTCGGCCTGTAAGACACAGCAGTTAGCGTAACGCTCACGTCGCCTCCATATCATGATGTTTCCTCCTCCCCCGGTCGGCCTGTAAGACACAGCAGTTAGCGTAACGCTCACGTCGCCTCCATATCATGATGCTTCCTCCCCCCCGGTCGGCCTGTAAGACACAGCAGTTAGCGTAACGCTCACGTCGCCTCCATATCATGATGTTTCCTCCTCCCCACCGGTCGGCCTGTTAGGGCTGTTGGGCCCACTGCAGACGTTGTTGGCGGTGACGTTAAGTGAGTATCGGCCCGACTTAAGGACGACATCTGATTCTCGCAGCTCTTAGGTGACAACGAATGACGTAGACGTTGAATGGTTGCAACTGTCTGTGTTGCTCGTCGCCGTCGGTCACGCAGATGTGTCACCCGGATGTTACGGTCCTGCCCGGGAGTCTTGACGGGGACGGTCTTGGACATTGCCTGTCTGTTGAGGCCTTGTGACCAATCTGGTGATGGTAGACACATGACATCCAAAGTGCCTCGCCTGTCAGTTGACGTTGATACCGATGGCAACACCTTTCTGGAGTTCAATTAATCGAACCATTTTTCCTGTCCTTTTTCAAAGTCGTGTGTGAAATGCTTGGTGTGTTTATATGGTGGCTTACAAAGGATGGACAAGGGGGAAATTACACGCATTTCTGCACATAATTTGTCCTGCAAAAAACGCCAAACGAGACGACACAACTGCGTTCCTGCGAGGTGCTCAGACTAAATGATGTAAATAGTGAACAGTGTTTCTTCAAGGTGTCTTTGTATGTTGTATACCTTTCTTCTCACAAATTCCTATTCTGTGCATTTCACAAACAGAAAGCTTGACTTGTGGTTCTTTTGCGGTTGAGTACATGAACTAAAACGGGTTTTTTATTGACTTTAGTGGTTTGCAAGAATAGGTAAAAAAACATGAAGAAGTCCAGTGTCTGTCCTTCAGGATATAACGAGTTGCTACAGATAACCCTAATGAGATATACGCACGGCGGCGTTGAAATCAATAGACGTAATTTCTTGTAAATGCCAGCTTTAACACCCAACTCACCTGCCATACACCCCCGTGGTAGCCCCCACGGTACGTTATGGAATCTTCGCCATCGGATGTCTCCACGTAGGCAAGACGTCGCAGGAACAGACGGTCGTCCCCGAAGATGCATTTAGATCTGATCCTGTCTATAACGGCGTCGACGACGACCTTCCCATCAGCCCCGGGAGACATCGTCAGGTCCACCGCGAGGGCGACACCCATGACGGCAGCTGTCAGCATCAACCATGTCGTGGCACCCGTCATTGTGAAGTCTTGTAGTGGTGAGTCCTACCCGCCTTCTACCCCGGAGTGCTTGGTGCTGGGTTATATAACGGTAACCCGGATGTTCCGCGCGTGCCGCGTTCTCCTTAACAGGTATAAGTGTTGATTGCGAAATTGACTATTCTTAGAAGACATGTACTTTGAGATTGCATTACCTCCTGAAACACCTGTTTACGCAGAAAGTGTGGTCTGATCAGACTACGGGGACTTTACCCCAATGCATGTGTTGTACAAGGAAGAGATGACTCTCCTCAGGAAAGCATATTATTTACTATGTCAATATCATCGGATATGTTTGGACAGGTCCTTTGTGAATAACGCCGTTTCGACACCCCATGTCCCCACCCAATCGAGGACAACACTACACCATAACAATTCTTTATTGGTAGCATTCTCGGTACATGATGATTTCGTGGAAATAGAAGCGGCAAAAAACCTTATGTATTCATACGAAGTCAGTGATAAAACAGATGTAAAAAACAAGTCCGGTATGAATGCATCAATTTTAATTGGTTTCCCAGGTTGATTTCATCGTACATGATATATACAATGCAGGTAACTTCCGCACAGCCATCTTCTTGATGAAACTTTTCACTACGTTTTGTATTCTTTAAATGAGGCGTGACAAACACTCAAAATGGGTGAACATCAGTTGGTATACGTGGCCTTGTATGGCGCCCATGTGGTGTGTGTGTGAGCTAGAGACAGCTCTCCAAAGTCTCCACCTGTACAGATGGCTTGCGTAGGCAATCAGTCAAAGAGTTTGTTTAACGCGTTAGGGCAGCACGAGGTGTGGGAGAAGGTCCGCAGTGATGCAGGTTTGAGACAGAAGCCGACCAATATGGGGATTGGGTGGTCATTGTGACGTAGTGGGTGTGAGAAGTATGTTTGCAGTGACGCAGGTTGGAGACAGGAGCCGACCAATATGGGGATCGGGTGGTCATTGTGACGTAGTGTGAGAGGAAAGTCTGCAGTGACGCAGGTTGGAGACAGGAGCCGACCAATATGGGGATCGGGTGGTCATTGTGACGTAGAGTGTGTGAGAGGGAAGTCTGCAGTGATGCAGGTTGGAGAGAGGAGCCCACCAATATGTGGATCGGGTGGTCATTGTGACGTAGTGATGAGGAAGTCTGCAGTGATGCAGGTTGGAGACAGGAGCCCACCAATATGGGGATCGGGTGGTCATTGTGACGTAGTGTTGAGGAAGCCTGCAGTGATGCAGGTTGGAGACAGGAGCCCACCAATATGGGGATCGGGTGGTCATTGTGACGTACTGTGAGAGGGAAGTCTGCAGTGATGCAGGTTGGAGACAGGAATCGACCAATATGTTGATCGGGTGGTCATTGTGACGTAGTGGGTGTGAGAAGTATGTTTGCAGTGACGCAGGTTGGAGACAGGAGCCGACCAATATGGGGATCGGGTGGTCATTGTGACGTAGTGTGAGAGGAAAGTCTGCAGTGACGCAGGTTGGAGACAGGAGCCGACCAATATGGGGATCGGGTGGTCATTGTGACGTAGTGTGAGAGGAAAGTCTGCAGTGATGCAGGTTGGAGACAGGAGCCGACCAATCTGTGGATCGGGTGGTCATTGTGACGTAGTGTGAGAGGGAAGTCTACAGTGATGCAGGTTGGAGACAGGAGCCGACCAATATGGGGATTGGGTGGTCATTGTCACGTAGTGTGAGAGGGAAGTCTGCAGTGATGCAGGTTGGAGACAGGAGTCGACCAATATGGGGATCGGGTGGTCATTGTGACGTAGTGATGAGGAAGTCTGCAGTGATGCAGGTTGGAGACAGGAGCCCACCAATATGGGGATCGGGTGGTCATTGTGACGTAGTGTTGGGGAAGCCTGCAGTGATGCAGGTTGGAGACAGGAGCCCACCAATATGGGGATCGGGTGGTCATTGTGACGTACTGTGAGAGGGAAGTCTGCAGTGATGCAGGTTGGAGACAGGAGCCGACCAATATGGGGATCGGGTAGTCATTGTGACGTAGAGTGTGTGAGAGGGAAGTCTGCAGTGATGCAGGTTGGAGACAGGAGCCGACCAATATGGGGATCGGGTGGTCATTGTGACGTAGAGTGTGTGAGAGGGAAGTCTGCAGTGATGCAGGTTGGAGACAGGAGCCGACCAATATGGGGATCGGGTGGTCATTGTGACGTAGAGTGTGTGAGAGGGAAGTCTGCAGTGATGCAGGTTGGAGACAGGAGCCGACCAATATGGGGATCGGGTGGTCATTGTGACGTAGTGTGAGAGGGAAGTCTGCAGTGATGCAGGTTGGAGAAAGGAGTCGACCAATATGGGGATCGGGTGGTCATTGTGACGTACTGTGAGAGGGAAGTCTGCAGTGATGCAGGTTGGAGACAGGAGCCGACCAATATGGGGATCGGGTAGTCATTGTGACGTAGAGTGTGTGAGAGGGAAGTCTGCAGTGATGCAGGTTGGAGACAGGAGCCGACCAATATGGGGATCGGGTGGTCATTGTGACGTAGAGTGTGTGAGAGGGAAGTCTGCAGTGATGCAGGTTGGAGACAGGAGCCGACCAATATGGGGATCGGGTGGTCATTGTGACGTAGAGTGTGTGAGAGGGAAGTCTGCAGTGATGCAGGTTGGAGACAGGAGCCGACCAATATGGGGATCGGGTGGTCAATGTGACGTAGTGTGAGAAGTTAGTCTGCAGTGAGGCAGGTTAGAGACAGGAACCCATCAATATGGGGATCGGGTGGTCATTGTGACGTAGTGTGAGAGGGAAGTCTGCAGTGAGGCAGGTTAGAGACAGGAACCCATCAATATGGGGATCGGGTGGTCATTGTGACGTAGTGTGAGAGGGAAGTCTGCAGTGATGCAGGTTGGAGACAGGAGCCGACCAATATGGGGATCGGGTGGTCATTGTGACGTAGAGTGTGTGAGAGGGAAGTCTGCAGTGATGCAGGTTGGAGACAGGAGCCGACCAATATGGGGATCGGGTGGTCATTGTGACGTAGAGTGTGTGAGAGGGAAGTCTGCAGTGATGCAGGTTGGAGACAGGAGCCGACCAATATGGGGATCGGGTGGTCATTGTGACGTAGTGTGAGAGGGAAGTCTGCAGTGATGCAGGTTGGAGACAGGAGCCCACCAATATGGGGATCGGGTGGTCAATGTGACGTAGTGTTGGGGAAGTCTGCAGTGATGCAGGTTGGAGACAGGAGCCGACCAATATGGGGATCGGGTGGTCATTGTGACGTAGAGTGTGTGAGAGGGAAGTCTGCAGTGTTGCAGGTTGGAGACAGGAGCCCACCAATATGTGGATCGGGTGGTCATTGTGACGTAGTGATGAGGAAGTCTGCAGTGATGCAGGTTGGAGACAGGAGCCGACCAATATGGGGATCGGGTGGTCATTGTGACGTAGAGTGTGTGAGAGGGAAGTCTGCAGTGATGCAGGTTGGAGACAGGAGCCGACCAATATGGGGATCGGGTGGTCAATGTGACGTAGTGTGAGAAGTTAGTCTGCAGTGAGGCAGGTTGGAGACAGGAACCCATCAATATGGGGATCGGGTGGTCATTGTGACGTAGTGTGAGAGGGAAGTCTCCAGTGATGCAGGTTGGAGACAGGAGTCGACCAATATGGGGATCGGGTGGTCATTGTGACGTAGAGTGTGTGAGAGGGAAGTCTGCAGTGATGCAGGTTGGAGACAGGAGCCGACCAATATGGGGATCGGGTGGTCATTGTGACGTAGAGTGTGTGAGAGGGAAGTCTGCAGTGATGTAGGTTGGAGACAGGAGCCCACCAATATGGGGATCGGGTGGTCAATGTGACGTAGTGTTGGGGAAGTCTGCAGTGTTGCAGGTTGGAGACAGGAGCCGACCAATATGTTGATCGGGTGGTCATTGTGACGTAGAGTGTGTGAGAGGGAAGTCTGCAGTGATACAGGTTGGAGATTGGAGCCCACAAATATGGGTATCGGGTGGTCATTGTGACGTAGTGTGAGAGGGAAATCTGCAGTGATGCAGGCTGGAGACAGGAGCGGACCAATATGGGGATCGGTTGGTCATTGTGACGTAGAGTGTTTGAGAGTGAAGTCTGCAGTGATGCAGGTTGGAGACAGGAGCCGACCAATATGGGGATTGGGTGGTCATTGTGACGTAGAGTGTGTGAGAAGTATGTTTGCAGTGACGCAGGTTGGAGACAGGAGCCGACCAATATGGGGATCGGGTGGTCATTGTGACGTAGTGTGTGTGAGAAGTATGTTTGCAGTGATGCAGGTTGGAGACAGGAGCCGACCAATATGGGGATCGGGTGGTCATTGTGACGTAGTTTTGGGGAAGTCTGCAGTGATGCAGGTTGGAGACAGGAGCCGACCAATATGGGGATCGGGTGGTCATTGTGACGTAGTGTGACAGGGAAGTCTGCAGTGACGCAGATTGGAGACAGGAGCCGACCAATATGGGGATCGGGTGGTCATTGTGACGTAGTGTGAGAGGGAAGTATGTTTGCAGTGATGCAGGTTGGAGACAGGAGCCCACCAATATGGGGATCGGGTGGTCATTGTCACGTAGTGTGAGAGTGAAGTCTGCAGTGATGCAGGTTGGAGACAGGAGCCGACCATTATGGGGATCGGGTGGTCATTGTGACATAGTTTTGGGAAAGTCTGCAGTGATGCAGGTTGGAGACAGGAGCCCACCAATATGGGGATTGGGTGGTCATTGTGACGTAGAGTGTGTGAGAAGTATGTTTGCAGTGATGCAGGTTGGAGACAGAAGCCGACCAATATAGGGATTGGGTGGTCATTGTGACGTAGTGTGTGTGAGAAGTATGTTTGCAGTGATGCAGGTTGGAGACAGGAGCCGAATAATATGGGGATCGGGTGGTCAATGTGACGTAGTGTGAGAGGGAAGCCTGCAGTGATGCAGGTTGGAGACGGGAGCCCACCAATATGGGGATCGGGTGGTCATTGTGACGTAGAGTGTGTGAGAATTATGTTTGCAGTGATGCAGGTTGGAGACAGAAGCCGACCAATATGGGGATCGGGTGGTCATTGTGACGTAGTGTGAGAGGGAAGTCTGCAGTGATGCAGGTTGGAGACAGGAGCCGACCAATATGGGGATCGGGTGGTCATTGTGACGTAGTGTTGGGGAAGTCTGCAGTGATGCAGGTTGGAGACAGGAATCGACCAATATGTGGATCGGGTGGTCATTGTGACGTAGTTTTGGGGAAGTCTGCAGTGATGCAGGTTGGAGAC